CAGAGAGAGAAAAATAGTAGCAAAGATCTTCTTACAACCAAACTGTTCTACAAATGGCAAACTACTGAGGTGACAAGTATTACAAGCTCTGTTTTCTGGAAAGGGAAAGACGTCTTAAGTGTAGGGATAGCTTTCTTTATTGTCACTCACACATTGGTGTTAGAGGCAAAGCCAGGATTATACATGTGTTTCATCTTCCGACGTAAAAGGCAATTTGATTAATTAAAATATTAAAACCTCTAGTAGGAGGGCCCCTTTTGCAGGCTAAATTTTCTTGGCTGACTTTTAGGGGGGTTGGGTAGGAATCTTTGCTGCGGCGAGGCAGTGTAACTGGGAAGCATCCCATATCCCTCAGCAGTGTCAGATGGACACTGGGCCTAGTGGCTTAAGTACCTAGGTTACCCAGTTTGGAAGACCCTTTCTATCTTGTGTTCATGGTGGACATCCTTTTCTAATCTAGAAGCCTCTGTTTGTTTACTCAAAAAGCTGCCAGACCAAATGATCTGATCCTTTTTATTTGATAATAGTTTCTGAAGAAAATAAATACCTTCATCATAGGCTTATGCTTTTTGATTTATTAGCAAACATTCAGGGAATATCGAATGTGACATGAGCTGTGCTGGGCTTGGTAAAAAGTTAAAATCTGTGTGTTCACATTTCATAAAAATGTATGCAGATTTTTAAGTGGATATTTTCAAAAGTCTAATTTTATGCACAGAATTTAAAATAATGCAAATCACCCCCACATTTTAAAAGTCTGTCAAGAGCCACATAATTTCAAAGCTGGCAGGCTGAATGCATTTTAACAGTGTTACTCGGTTGCTGCACATTGGCACCAGTTGTGCCTGGGCAACGGATGCCCTAGCCGGCGTCAGCAGTGGCCAGGGATCCCACGTTCATTTCCTTCTACTAGGATTCAGCACATGATTTTGGTGACCACTACACTGTCTTTCCAGGACCACTTGGGTGTGAAATCTGAACAAGGCCTAAAGATCCTGAGTTTCAGTCTGAATTTTAGCGTTCATAGGCTTGAGGCATATCCAGCCACACTAGCTTTGGAAATTTTTTATGTCCAATTTTTCGTTATTACTAGAACTTAAAATATCTTTATATCTTACATTAAAAAACAAAATTCAACTTTAAATTTTAAAGATCTCACTGGCTTTATTTAACCATTTGTGAATTGAACAGCATCCCGTCTAGCAGATAGAAAAAAGCTCTGAGGAGCTATATACAAAGCAGGAGATTTTTATACGCAGAAAGGAGCAGGGATAAGAAAAGAGAAGATTGTTTTGGGTAAGGTCGCCCTTTGGGGGATGGCAGGGATCTGTCAGGCAGATTACCTCACAAATGCTCACTAGGAAATTCTAGACTGACTGGCTAAGATTACATTCCTGGGAGAGGTTGAAACTGGGATTAGGTTATGTATTAAGTATTGTTTTGTTGATGTAGGGCTGAACACAAATGACTCCATTTTGAGCTTGTTTGTAGTTTGTAAAAAGTAATGTAATACCAAGCATATATTGAGTACTCATTATGTACCAGGAACTGCTCTAATCTCAACAACTCAGTAAGATATAAGTCTTATTATCCCATTAAAAAAAAAAAACTTGATTCAGAGAAGTTAAGTCACTCAGCAACAATGTGGGCACTAGGATTCACAAATAGGCAAGCTGATGTGGACCCTATCCTCCTCCCCATGCCATAGTCCTCTGAGGCAAGCCCTTCTTAGCATTCTCTCAGCTAGACATGAAAATCTCACCCCCAAATCGTCAGCTTTGGAAGAAATTGGACCTGGTAAATGGTACAAAGAAGGCAAGACAACCACTCTCCAGAACGCATTCCCTCTCTTTTGTTACTGCTAGAAAATTCGCCTTGCAAGATGTTAATTTCAAATATGCATCATCCCTTTATAGAGCATCAATCCTGACCTCAAGGAACTTAGAATCAAATTTAGAGTAGAACTTACCATTCAATGAATGGTTATGATATACTGGGGACCACACCACGCCCTTATGTGCGTTCTCCTTCCCCACCCCCCAACAGCTCTGGGCGATACATGTTCTCAACTCCAGTGGTACCTTTGAGTTGGCAGACTGGTTATTCCAAACTCCCTGCTCACAGACTCCCTCCTTAACCTCCCTCATATCTATTTGAGCCTGAAAACTCAACTTTCAGGCTTTCCATCTCATTTTATAAAGTTGATAATAGGGCAGCCCAGGTGGCTCAGTGGTTTAGTGCCGTCTTTGGCCCAGGGCCTGATCCTGGAGACCCAGGATCGAGTCCCATGTTGGGCTCCCTGTGTGGAGCCTGCTTCCCCCTCTGCCTGTCTCTCTCTCTCTCTCTCTCTCTCTCTCTCTCTCTCTCTCTCTCATAAATGAATAAAATTTAAAAAAAATAAAATAAAGCTGATAATAGTGAAAATATTATCCAAGCTCAGCATGTAACTAGTTCTGGCAAGCATTTCCCAAAACATGAGGTTGTAAGTAAACAGACAAGAGCCGTATACCCATGAGAACTCAAAGCCAGGTAAGGAACTGGCAACCCAGCAAGTTGGTTGCAGACCTTTCCCCCTGCCATGAGAGGACTCACTCTGTCATATAGAACATATTCCCCATTAAGTCCTGTTCATCCGTTGAAAAATCTGGCTTTTACCTCCCTTCAAACAAATAATTCAATTTAACAGAAGCACAGTTAACTGAACTCAAAAAACCACAGGCAGCTTTTGCCTGCGTTCAAGCGCGCAACATACAGCTCGAGCTCCCTACCGGTAGTTGTAACCTGAAGGCCATCTTGTTACTTGAACTGAGCGAAGGGTGCCATCTTCCAGGACCGGGAACCATGAGAAGCGGTGTTCAGAGGAACCTCCGTGCTGTTCCATGCTGGCCACCAAACCTTCGATATATTTCCAGATGGACCCCTCAGCACCCAAGGCAATTTGCTTCCAGAATACAATGTGGAAAATGTTCTTGCTGGAGAGCACAATGGTTCTTTTACATTCGTAATGCCTTCGGCCTTTATTTGTGAATCACGGAAATCTAATCACCGTCACTCCACATCTTTGTACCTCCAAAACAACATGTATTAATGTGTCCTTTTAGAGTCCTATACATTTTGGAAAGTATATGTGATTGATTTACCCAGCGTTTGAGACACGGATCTGATTTTTTTTTTCCTAAGTCCATGCTATTTCAGCAAACACAACCAATTGATTGATGCAGTGATTCTTTTTCAGAATAAAGCCGGGCTTTGGCTCAGGTCTTAATCCCTATGAGCACATCGCGTTAACTCCCTGTTGCCCAGGAAAGCCCGTGGCGACACTGTGGCTTTGACCACAGACTTGCTTGGGGACACTTCTGCAGTGAGTTTTCAGGGTTTGTTTGGTACATGCTCCTTGTCCAACCTGACACCTTCCTTAAAGAACATCTACATTTGTAAACATACCGGCTTTTCAAGGAAGGTGTGAAGTTTTGCTTCAGAACCGGCAGCCGAACATACTGTTGGCTGAACTACATGGAGGGAGATAACCTATTTACATACTAAAAAGGTCAGTGTTGGACAATCAGCATTTAGAGATGAATTTGCTGCTGCTTGCAACTGGAGCATAAGAATTTGGGAGAAGGCCGCAATTTTGCTGTCTCTATCTGTGCAGACAGCAAGCATTGGTAAATACGTAGGCTGTCTGTGCCAAGCAGCTAGGGTGGTGATGGATGGGTCCCTTCCTAGTTTGGAACCTCTGATTACTAGTGGGTATGTGACTATGTGTCCATGCAAAATGCAGGTCAGCCTCACCTACTAAAAACTGTAATTAATTTGAGGTAGAAATATTTGCATAATAGCTTTTCAGACTGTTAGTAAAATACCATCATAACAGACTTTAAATTATGTGGCTACTGCTTACTTAACTATCATTTGCATCAGGAAAGTAGACTTTTAGATGGCTTAAAACAATTTTTTGTGGTCTTTCTTTTCAAAGTATTTTAAAATATCAACAGCTTTATTTTGCTAATGTGATGAAAGTATCTTTAAAAATGGCATTAAAAAGGCATGAATTTTCTCTGAAATCTCTATGTTTTTTTTCCTTATCCATTTATACATTCAAAGCAAAATAATTAGGGAATTGAGGTCTATAGCGCCCATCTAAATGTTGGGAATATAACATAAGAATCAAGTCACTGTTGAAGGTGGCCAATGAGTTCTGGAAGCCTGGGGAGAAGTAAGAGGCAGGAGAGAGGTCTTAGCTCCCTTGGTGATAGCAACCAATCTTGAGCAGGGAAGCAGCCATTGCCCTTCGTGTCTTAGAACCAGAGCTCATTCAGAGCTTTTGCTCTGAAAAGAGAGCGCCCCTTTAAGAGTACCTGTGTCAGGGCCATCACATCTCCACTGCGGCTGCTCCCTAAGTCCCAAGGGGTCATCGTGGCTTTCTGGGAACTAGCACAGCAGCTGCCACCAACATCCTCATGGGGACCCAGTACTGCATTCCACATTCATTGTCCCCTGGGGGACTTGTCAAGCCAGATGTGGCCCTGGGTTCATGGTGCCTTTGGAGACAAATGAAGCAGCTTCCAGGAAGAAGTCGTTCTTAGTGCGCACACACAACCCAGATGCGTCGGTGTGCTGATCCACTTAATAGTCCTGTACTTCCTCTGACTCCTGATTTAAGGAGAGAGGAGCCAGCGACAGTGACAAGCTAGCTCTTGGTTGGCATCAAACTGTCTCATAGAGATTATTTGACCTTGCTCAGCAGATAGCCAGAGTCATCCAGGCCATATATAACATCTGTTTCTCATCATGACCGTTACTTTGAAACAGAGCAGTGGCATGGCCTGCACCAGGGGACTCCTCCTGGTGATGATGTCAAGCGATGGGAGCACCAGGGTTCCCCCTGAGTCTGCACTTTTCCTATCCTGGCCCTGGCCACCTGGGAGGAGGAGCTGACCTAGGTGATGTCCGCTAATTGGCCCCGCATGTGTACTTCACTCAACCTGCCTCTCTTTCAGAATACTCGGCTGAGCAGACCCAGCAGGCTCTCCACCAGTCGGTCTTCATGTCCTCTGTGTCAGCCCACCCTTTCCGGGACCTTCCTCTCGGCAGGGAGCAGCACTGCAAGCTGCTTCCAGGTGTGGCCAACATCCAGGCAGGCGAGGTGGCCCGATGGACAGTGGAGGAGGTGAGCAGGGCTGCTCTGGGGCTCTGGGTGGACCAGACCTTGTTGCTGAGAATTTCTCTCAGGGCATGAAATCCACTGCATCAAATTTAAATTTAAGAGCCGTACTTAAGGGAGAACACAGGCCTGATTTTGAGGAAGTCAGGGAAGACCAGTTGGTTTTGGGCCCCAGTGGTATCCCAGACCCGCCTCTGTTCTCCATCACCATGGGCCTAGTGCCAGTTTTGGTAAAGGGGCCCAAGCCTCCAGACCTGCATCACAGACTGATTTGGGGGAAGCACATACGTATAAGCATCTTCCACTTGCACCCTGGCAGCCCCTTCCTAAGCAGCGTCTTGTCTGGGGAGCCACCTCAGGGTGGTCTGTCCTGTGCTGAGGGGCTCCCTTTGGCTCCTGCGGGGCCACAGAGGATCCCCTGGTCCTCGATACTGAGCAGCTCTGTGTAGCCATTTGTCCACTCAAAGTCACAGATGGTCTGTTAACCTGAGGTTTGTGTTTAATGTGAGTTAGATCACAGCACTGCAGAAGATGCTGTATGCATGAGAAAACTGATCCAACTTTAGTATCACTGTGCATTACCATGTTGGTTTTCATAAGGACCAGGTAAGTCCCGGTGCTTGCTGTAATGCCGTAGAAATGCTTCATATGTAAAGCAGTGTTCTTTTAAGGAATACACTCTTTGACATTTCTTTTAATAAAGGCATCATTTCCACTAGTCAGGCCTTAATTAATTTTTTTAAATGAAGGAAAACCCCAGGGTCACTCCGAGGATGAGATAATGGTGGAGCTGAAGTTAAATTCATTGCAAAATGTTCATTGAGCACTTCTGCAATCAGCTTGACTTAACCTCAGTTTAAGCCTTCCTTTCCAGCCCTGGACAAGGAGCAGGTAACAAAGGCCATGCAGAGGCTGGAGGTCTCGGGCAGGCCTGCTATATCCACCTCCTCGCAGGCACCTCCCAGAATCTCCCTGGTGGACTGCCCTGCCCAGCAGCAGAGGCTGACAGCTCTTCTTCAGCACACCCTGCTGCCCCACCTCCCCTTCCACTATTTACAAGTGCCCCCAGAGTCATGATGATGGAGCGTTGGCGGAGTTTTCCAGCCAGTGGTGACTAAATGTGTTCCTGTTCCTGAAAGAGTATGTGGAGCCTGCCCCTACCCCTCCTCGAAGAATTTTTACCAGTTTACAAAGCGTGCAGCAGCTTCATGATGAAGCCAACTGAATTAAGACCTATTGTGCTCTGTAATCCAATCATGTACAGCTCTGGCCTTGTAACAGCAGGTGCAGAATGGGGAGCTTAGTGGCAAGTCATTCATTCCTGACTTGCAAGCCATTCACTCAAGGTTCTACCAACTTTTAAATTAGGCTGACAATGGCTTCTCCTCCCCTGCATCGTCAACATCGTGCTTATTAGAAAGATGTCTTGGGGAGGGCAGCCACCTGCATCCAGCCCAGCCCTACATGCACAGAGCAGCTGAGTCCTGAGAGTGGGTGAACATGGTAGAGACACAGAGCTCTGGGGGTGTCTCTGCCTACCTTAACATGATCCCTGGCTCCCCAAAGTCCTTGGCATGCCTTAGGACCTGCGTGGGCAGTCCTCCCTGCCTTTCCTGCCCTACCTCCCACCATGCCCCCCATGGTCCTCCCATCCTGGGCTACCATGCCCTCATGGCGTTCTCACACTGGCACAGCTGCTAACCCTGCCTCAGGTCACCTTTCCTTCTGCCTGAGGCCACTCCAGCCATCAGCACAGTGCTCACCTCTATGCTCCCATCTCCTCAGTCTTCTGCCACTGACCTACACTCACTTGTCTGCCCCCTCACCAGATGAGTAGAGACCTTCTTTCACTCACTTGGCATGTTTCTTGAGAATTTCTCACTACACCTGGCACTTATTAGATAAGCCAGTAATGTTTGTTGAATGAGTGTCAAATGATAGGGGCATTATGAGCTGGATTTTGAAACAAAAGGGGAACACACCCAAGCAGAGAAGAGAAGGAGGCCATTGCAGTCAAAAGGTAAAATAGAAGGTCACATGGGAGTGAGTATGACATATACAAGGATGGCCAAGGTACAGCACATCCTTTACTAACATCCATAATGACAGTGAACATTATTAATATACTGAGAGTAAGGCAAGTACTTTTTTCTGTTGCCCATTTTGAGGCACCTAGAGACTAAGTCACTTCTCGGGGCCTCACAGGCAGAGCCAGGCCCAGAGCTGACATCTTCCCCACCAAGCGCCCTGTGCGCCTGGGGGCACAGAGTGGCCTGTGTGAGGCCAGGCACTGGCAGGCCTGTCACTTCTCAGTATGAACCACCTGAGCGGTTCTCACGCAGAAAGTCACCCGTGGAGACGGTGCTTCATGGGCATGTGAATGGCACTCATCTGCAGAAGTGTGAGAAGAGGCCTTGGAGGGGAGGGAGCTATCAGGGAGCATTGCCACACTCCTGGCGTAGAATCACCTCTGCCTGCACTGAGCGCCACGTGGGAAGAACCACTGGAAGTCAAAGTTGGCTGACATTTTTAAGTTGACAGCACTAACACAACACAGTGAACCAGATTAGATACTGAAGATGAAGAAGTGAAATGAGCCAAATGTGACTCCATTTGTTTACGACCTAGGATGACAATATGTGAGTTGGAGATTTCATCTGAAAGAATGGGAAAGTCGTGGTGCCATCAAACGAAATGAAACTTCTGAGGGAAAGACCCAGTTTGGGGGCAAGGAGATAAGATGGTGAATTAAATATGGGACATCTTGAGTGAGAGGTCCCTGTGAATTACATTATAGCAATGGATGTGCAGCACCTATTCTGGGGGGTAGAAATACCAAATGGGGTGTCATTATTGGATGGGGGGCCCTGAGTGAACCGTCATGGTCATCCAAGGAGAGCTGCTGAGGATGGAAGTCAGTGGGGACCACGGTCGGGGAGAGAGTGTCCACAAAAGAGAAAAGTCCAGGGAAGGCAGGTGGCGAGGGTTCCATTGGGTAGGGCCCATGTCAGAAGTAGCTCAGGACTCCTAATTGGAACTGCAGGACTAGGCTTCGGGGTGGGGGTGAGAGTGGAAAAATGTGTACAATATGTGTATTCCTTGAACGTCTCAAGAGGACCATCATCCAAAAAGAATAGAACCTCTGTTTTAGGAACATTAAGTAATGACTGGGAAGTTTAGGGGGCCTCTGGTCTGGTGAGTCCCAAGTCTGGCACTGCAGGAAAGCAAGGGCTTGGTGGATGAAGAAAGACAGTGTTTGTCACACTGCAGGTCTCACTGGGACAAGGAAGGACTCACCACAGGGGAGACTGAGGATGACTGAGGATGCCATCAAAGACTTAAGAGGAGGCTAAGGTCACAGTCCCTGAGTTCTCTGTAGTGGACACACATGGAACACCAGCTCTTTCATGCTGAAAGAGGCCTTAGAATTTTCTAGACCTAAAGTAAAACGACCATCTGTGATGCTGTCTTCATAAAGCGTTCCTGTCGTGATGCTTCCATAACCATGACTTCCCTCAAGGATGCATTTCAGAGAAAGTTTGGCTTATCCCCTAATGCTTACTATATCATAATCTTGAAATCCCCCTAACTAGATGCCCTTGAGGACAAGGAGCACATCCTAAATTCCCTTCTATATTCTCACACTCCTGTAGCACGTTTTCTGGAACCAAAATAGGCCCTCAAGAAGAATCCTGGATGGGGTGAGAGTGTGGGCTCTGTGACGGCTCTATTTGTATCTTTGAAAATAAGGCATCCCTCAGATGGGTTTGGCTGAGGGGGCATTCCAGTGAGTACCAACAATAGAGTTGTGACTATTTTAGACACTGCATTAAAAATGGGAATGGGGCAGTAAGGATTTGAAAGGGCAAGAGGAGACAAAGGAGGGTGCTGTTCCTTTGTGTTTGGTTCTCATTAGGCAAAGTATTGGAAGGAATCATAGGAGCCCAAGACAGGATACCCTGAAAATGGACGTGTGTGTGTCCTTGTGTCAAGTGCCACTCAGGGAGACTGAAGGCAGGAGTCTGTCTGTGGCACAAGAGGAAGAGCAAGAATGCTTCCTTTTGTCTGCTGTCCTGGCCTGGGAGGAAGTCCTCCATTCTGCATTATGTGACCTGTGAAGAAAAGCCAGCACCGGGCCTTTGTAAGATTGCCCAGAGCCTGGGAGCTGGCTTTTAACTCCTTTGTCGCTGTGGCTGTTTCTGGGAGAGCAGAGTTTTTCAAAGCACAGGTAGGCTTGTGAAGTCAATTTCATGGTTCTAGAGATGAGAGGAAAGACCAGTAGTGTAGTAAGGGTTATTATCTTGTGAAACCTTTGTTAGAAACGTGTGGGTATGTGCACACACTCAAGTTACGGTCAGTGCGAAGTGTATTTCTTACTCTGGGCCATGGAAATGTTCCATAAAGGAATATTAGTGCTTAAGAGTAGAAACTAAAATATTTTTATATCTCCTTACATCATTCTAGTAAGTATCTTGCCCAGAGTAGGTGCCTGACAAATGTGTGAGTGAATAAGTGGGGAGGTGGGTTTTATGCAGTACCCAGGTGTGCGTGGACACGTGAGGGCAGGAGGTGACATGTTGTGGGCACATTAGAGCCACAGGTATGGCTCATGTATGCTCGGTGCACCTATGGGTACTTTGATTCCTTACAACCAAAAATGCTTTTTAAAGCAGCACGTATACATCGCCATAGCCTCCACCAAGAGTGCCCTAAGTGTCCATTAATTTTGAAAGATGGCAGTCACTTTAAAAGCAACCTTTCCACAGAAGGGAGTGTTTTGAAAAATTCAGGATACTGGTAATTAAGCATAGCAGCCTTGTACAAGCGGGCCCTTAAAAAAAAAAAAAAGACAAATAACAAATTCCACTGTTAAAAAATTAGACCCAGGCTGGAAACATGGTCCCCAGTGGACTCGGAGCCGGTAATCAGGCCCACTGCTCCAGGCTCAGCAGAATGGAGAACAGCACCACTCGGAAAGATTGAAGGGAGCCGTAGCCCCACTGAAGGAGACAGGCCTTCTGAGTTCCAGGAGAATGCCAGGAAAAGTAGGTCGCTGGGGGAAGTAAGTTAGGGAAGTAATGGGCTTATCCGAGAGCTGGCCACAGGGTCATCTTTCTTGGTCTCTCCAAACTGCTGTGTCATTCCCAGAATTAACCTACTCAGTGTCCTTCCAAAATAAAGCTGACCTTTCACCATGGGCTACCCTACTCCTGAGAACTTGGGGAATCAAGCACATGTCGGCCTCCACAGCAGGTGTATTCTTGGAACCAAGGTAGGGATTGGTGGTCCCCGGGCTCCCACAGCAGCGCCATCGCCTTACCGAGCAGACACGTCCACACGGCCACCTTGGCTCAGGCAAACAGATGCCAGTTTTCTGTTTCATAGAGTTCACACCAGTCTGACTAGTTCATATTTACCACAGACTTGAATAGATAATCAGAGGATTCTTAAGGGGAGAATGGGAAGGAGGCTTTCTGATAGTACTCTACAGTGTGTTAGAGCTCCCCACTTTATGTTTAAAATTTGCAGCAAAATGGGCTTTCTGTTAAGCCTCAAAATATAATGTATTCTTGGAGGGAATAAATACTAACAGCACTGAATAATGGCACTGAATAATGATCAAGCGAGGCCTTTGGATATTTTTTAATTCTGGCCAGAAAAGTCGGCCTCAGTGGATTTCACGGAACTCAGTTTTGACTTTGGAAAAGGACAGATTGAATAGAATCAGACTCTCTTTCCAAAGAGGCAGAGGATTTCAGACACGATGGTGAGGCAACGGAGACCAGGCGGCCCCGCCGTCAGGGAGGTGAGGCAGGGAGGGCTGTGCAGGGCCCAGCTAAGGGCTGCCCAGCTGCCTGGGCTGCTCCACTTCCTCTCTGGCTCGGCACGAAAATTATTCCTGTTAAAGACTTCTATCTACCTCTGACATGGACAGTGACTTCTTGGCTAACAATACTGAGGAGGAAGAATGTGATTCTTTCTGTTTGTCCAGAAAAGGACATTTTAACTTCTGCAGGCCATCAAAGCAACACACAACGCCTATGCCGTGAATGGAAGTACCTGGAATGTGTATTTTAAAAAGACCATCTCTCAAAACACTTCTCTTTGTCTGTGGTCGCCCAGGCTCCTTATTGTTGGCATGGCTTTCCCACAGGAGCTAGTGATTGAGATGTGACAAAATGTATGTCTTCTGCTAATTCTTAGTCCTACTTTTTTAGTGTTCCTGCTATGACATTCAGCCTCTTTCCCTGTGAAAGAGCCATCTCAGGAAAACCTTCCTTTAGAGCAGTGGCTTTGAACCAAGGAAGATATGGGCAACATCTGGACACATTTTTGGCTGTGTTCCCCCCCCCAAAGCAGCATTTATTTACCCACTGAATTCCAAAACATTTAATTTAGAAGTCTGGCATTTCATAATCACCCATCTTGATTGACGTGGGCTGACACACATGGCGGTCAGGATACACAAGGACAATAGCCAAAGAGTTACAAAAAATAAATCCATGATTCTTAAACAATTGCAACCAAAAAAAAAAAAGTTACAGGTATCAAACCTTTAGATGCATTGCATTGAAAAAGAAGGTTTGTGCACGTCATAATTTAAAGAGGCAAAACAAGATGCTACTGAAACCTCATGTTAAACAGTTTCTTATAAAGTTAATGGAAAGGAGCAAGTGGTCTCTTTATAATCAGCTTTCCTTAACAGTTTTCCGTTAGCTGAAGAGGTGGGAAGGGTGAATTCATTTTTTGCATGCACAAGATGTACTGCATCTGTGCATGCATTAGATGTACAATGTTGGAGGAGATGCAAGTGGCACCTGGTAGGTAGAGGCCAGGGTCCCCGCTAAACACCCTGCAATACCCAGGGTGGCCCCACAGCAAAGAATGATCATTCCCCACCAGTCAATAGTGCTGGCATGAACAAAGCTGCCCTCCAACATCTTTCCTGGACTCTGCTTTTGATTCCTTTGTTCCCACACCCAGTGTGGGCAGATCTCAGGATTTTACCTCACAGGGCCTCCTGCTTCTGCTCTGGGCTCTGTTCCATGCGGAGTGTCCAGGGCCTTTTCTCCACTGGAGAGCTGCAGGTGTCTCCCAGTGACGTCCTGCCCGGGCCGGCTCACACTGCTAGATCGTCTCTCAAGATTTCTCTTGCACCAGGGTCTAAGCCGTACCTTCACATGAGAATCACCTGGGGAATCTAGAAATGTATGCCTAACACTTGGCCTGATCCAGCCTGATTACTTCGGAGTCTCTATGGCCTGAGCCACACCATCATTCCTGTTAAAAGCTGTCCAGGTAATTTCAAAGTGGGGCCAAGAGAGAGAACCGCCCCTCCAGGGCTCCTTGCTGCCCACACCCGGAAACCACACCGCCACCACCTCAGCCCTTGCCTTTACCCACGACTCCCCTTCTGCTCCGAAGTTCTAGCCAAACTGGACTTCTCACTGCTGATGACTTGAGCGCTATGCAGCCAGCTTGTGGCCTGGGCCCTGGCGCTCTGTGCTGAGGTCTTCTCCACTTGTCCAGCCCAAATCGCCCCCCGGTGGAAACACTGCCACCCAGCGGTGTCTGTCTCAGCTCCCACCTCCCTGGTGCTGCCTTAACTCGGTTCCCATCTGAGATGCCATTTGTCCCTGCTAGAAGCCTTTCCACCTCTCTTCTAGAACTTCGCTCATGGGAGCAGTGATCAGTAAGCCATCCTCACTCACCATTTTCTGTTAATCCTCCCCCTCTGATCAAACTGTAAACTCGTTGGAAGTTCACGCATGCCCTGCTCACCGGTTCTGCCCTCCCAGCACCCAGCAGGGGTCTCACATGCCGCACGGGTCAGACGTACCTGGCCAGAGAGCATCCTGGACCGGGGGACCACACCCACTTCACAGTGTCCCAGGCCCTAGAAACTCTGTGAGTCCCTGCTGTCACTTGCCTCACTTACCGTGTCTCTGCAACTTGAGCAGCAGCATTCCAAGACTCTCCTCACTCAGCTCCCTGCTTTTTAGCCCCTAAGAAGAGCAAATCGTGTTAAGTCAACAAACAGCCTTGGCTCCCGGCAGAGTGGAGCACCAGGGTGCTCCTAGGGCTTGAGGACACCATTGAGTGGCAGCATGCTGACTGGTTTGGGGGGAAAAATTTTTTTAATTCTCATCTTCCTGCATTTTGGAAGGATGACTGTAAATGACTCGTGGTAAAATACACTTTGTGGCATCAGAGGTGAGTAAAGCAGACACCAACGTTGCTGATTGCCCCTAAAAAGAGGTGCTGAAATGTTTGTATTAATTAGAGCTGTGAGGAGACTGGGTGGGTCGGTTAAGGGTCTTCCTTCGGCTCAAGTCATGATCCTGGAATGCCAGGATCAAGCCCTGCATGGGCTCAGCGGGGAGTCTGCTTCTCCCTCTACCTACCCTCTCCCGCCCTGCCATTGTGCTCTCTCTTGTGCACTCTCTCTCAAATAAATTAAATCTTTAAAAATAGATGGATGGACAGAGCTGTAAGTCAAGGTTGTGCATACAGGCATCAGGACCCATGTTCGCTCTGTGGGTGTTGGGCCCTGACCGCTCTGTAAGCTGGAAATCAACACCCGATGTTCTCTTCTGCAGAGTGTGGGGAGGGTCAGTGTCCACTGCCATCTCCCTTCAGAGAGCCAGAAACTCTCAGGGCCCGGGGTGTAGAACATGTTGATACAAGACCCTGAACTCACCACCTTCTTGTGGGCCTTTTCCATTAGAGGAGAAAGAGAAGGTTCAAGTGCACACAGTTCGGTTGGCACAAGACACAGAGACAAAAATGAAAAACCCAAGACAATTACTCTGACAAACATCATCTCCCGGGTTTGTCACTGTAGCCTTCTGGTGTGCAATAGGGCCAGATGTTGCCAGAAGTGACCAGCATCCACTTGTCATTTTGGTCATTGACACTACGATTTATTATGTTTGTTCATTCAGCTTTCTGACAGCATCAGTTGGAAACTCTCAGCAGCTTCCTGCACATACAGCCAGGTCATTGTTTGGTCTAATTAAAAGGAACTTAGGGTATGTGTGGCTGGACAGGGAGTGGGAGAAAGAGTGGAAAATGAAGTTGAAGAGCATGATTCTCCAGAACTCCGGTTTTGGAGTCTGAAAACCTGGGATCCAAAGCCATCCCTGGCATTTCTGAGCCATGCATGACCTTCGGCAAGTCATTAAACCTCCTTGGGCTTCAGCTTCATTGTCACTGATGGGGGAATTTGGTTGGCTTAGGTCCCTAGAGTCCCTGTCACTGGCCGGGCCTTGGGGCCACTGAGGTGCCAGGTAGACAGGTCCTGCTCTCAGACAGTCACTGTGAAGACTGCTGCACACGGCCACTTCCTCCTGCTTTTCCTGACCCTCCCAGGGTGAGTGGACAGGAGGATCAGATGAGAGAAGATTCCAGAATGCCAGCACCGCACACAAGGAGGCTGTCAATGTCCTCATAACGGTAACCCTATGTAGGTCAGCCTGGAAATGAGAGGCCAACAGAGAGACTGGGGGCTGATCTAATTTCTGAGCTGGCAAATGCTTATGTGACTTGATAGTTGGTATTTAAATCCCAAGTGTTTGAGGGATTTGAAGTGTATTTTACTCAAACGTTGAATTACTACAACCCAAGAAATTATTTCAGGTGCAAGTTTTAAATCAGGCTTTTCATCTCACTCTGTAGGTGGCCGAATTTGTACAGTCTCTTCTGGGCTGCGAAGAGCATGCCAAGTGCTTCAAGAAAGAGGTAAGAAATGCAAAAATTATATGTATTTCCCTACTTATGGACTCAGAAGTGCTTTGTTTTCATTTACTTCCGTGTAAATAAGAGCAGGAGAAAAGGCTCGGGGCAGGAAAGAGCCCAGCAGAGCAGCGGGGCACAGCAGCGTCAGTCTCTGGGCTTTGTCACTGAATGCTGTGGTGCTCGGCCCGTGTGGCCTGCCCAAGAAATAGCCTGTCAGGTGAGGGAATAAAGGAACATGTCAGTTAATTCTTATGGGTGCTGTGGAGGCTCTGCCGTGATGACTTGAGGCTTCACTGGGGGCAGAATGGAGTCCTGCTAGGAGCCTGCTCCCGGGGAGGAGAGGGAGTTACTTACTTCAAGGGGACAGTGGGACCATCCTGTATGTCCCTGCTTGGCACCTGCTTCAAGAGGAATGCAGAGAAGCCACAGAATCCTTCTATGGGGTTTCTGCTTCCTACCCTCAGTTGGTTGGAAAAGTTCCAAACTACTTAATATTTGTCCTGGAATTAGTAGCTATAGCTCTAGGGACCCCAGAAGAAACTGGACCAGCTACGGAATCATCGTGAAGATACAGTGGTTATTGTTTTGTTTGTTGTTTTTTTTTTTAAGATTTTATTTATTTATTCATGAGAGACGAGAGAGAGAGAGAGAGAGAGAGAGAGAGAGGCACAGACACAGGTAGAGGGAGAAACAGGCTCCATGCAGGGAGCCCCATGTGGGACTGGATCCAGGTCTCCAGGATCACACCCTGGGCTGAAGGTGGCACTAAACCGCTGAGCCACCCGGGCTGCCCACGGTGGTTATTGTTTATCGTGGCCTTGCCAAGTGCTGGGCCCTGCGCTGAGCACTTTACAGTTATTATCCTTGGGTTCTCAAACAACCAATGAAGAAGCCTAGCAGGAAAAGGGCAGTCAGATTGTAGCCCCCGTCCATGTTGTTTCCAGGGCCATCGTTATTGCTCCAGAAGTCTCCTAGAAAACTACCCTCTAGAGCCTCTGGTGTGTAGCACACACTCTCCCTCTCAGGGCATGCATGGTTCAGGGAAAGGACTCTTGCATTTGGGGTCCTGGGCTCCTCAAAGCCCAGCAAGTCCTGCATCTCCAGGGAACTCAGCATTAGGGTCAGTATGGTGGCAGTCTGGATAGCTGCCACTGGAAACACGATGCTCACCTGCTCTTCCCCAACCCAGCACAGCTCCGGTGTGGTTGGCCCCGCCTCACACATACGGGCCGCTCTCTGCATCCTGTGATGCCCGAGACCCACCTGGTCCACAGGTCTCTGCACGTCACGATGCTCCAGCTTGGCTCTTAGACCTGCGGCCCCCCAGTGGGCAGATCATTTAGCCTGCCTTATCCTCCCCTCCTCTGTAAAACACAGACTTCGCCAGGGGGGCTTTGATCAGGGGTAGTGTGTTTCAGTGCCTGGGAAAGTCTGCAAGTATCCTGTTCTCTGAATGGACGATTCTTCAACAAATACTATCATAAATGCACAGGAAGCCTTTTTTTTTTTTAGAGATTTTATTTATTCATTCATAGAGACACAGAGAGAGAGAGAGAGAGAGAGAGAGAGAGAGGCAGAGACACAGGCAGAGGGAGAAGCAGGCTCCATGCAGGGAGCCCGATGTGGGACTCGATCCCAGGTCTCCAGGATCACACCACGGGCTGCAGGCGGAACTAAACTGCTGAGCCACCTGGGCTGCCCAGATGAAGCTTTTTATAGCTTTCTTAGATCTTTAATTTCCCACTTTAATTTAAAACTTTAATTGCAAAACTTGGGTCTGTGGGGGATCCTTACTCCTCATCGACTCATTGACTCCAAGGGTTTGCATCACTGATTCACAAAGGTTAGAACTAACACAGTGCTAGGTGCAGGGAAAGGTGTTGCCATAGAAGACCCGTTCATTCTGTCATCTTGGTTCTAGAACCAGCAAGCTTTCTGAGCCTGTGTGTGTTGAAATAGGTGATGTGAGTGTAGGACCTGCCTACAGTCCCTGAGACTCAAACTCTGAGAGCAGACTGGGCTGTATGGTGGTCACTCACCATCCTGAGAATCTTAGGAAAGCTATTACGTGTCAGGTCACTATGCTTTAAAGGTTAATAAATAAGGGGCGCCTGGGTGGCTTGGTGGGTTAAGCAACCAATTCTTGATTTCTGCTCAGGTCATAATCTCAGAGTCACAAGATTGAGCTCCATGTCAGGCTCTGTGCCCAGTGGGGAATGTCTTTGTCCCTCCCCCTCTTCCTTTGCCCTCCCTCCCTGCTCCCAGCCCTCTCTAAAATAAATCATCTTTAAAAACTATTAAATAAAACATCTATTTTATATGTATTTTTGCTTATAATGGCATTTCTTATTAAAAAAAACTTTTTAATGCAGGTCAGTTAAAAGGAGAATATAAAAATAAACCACTACTCCACCAGCCAAATCTGACTTCACTTAACATATAAAGACTTCAAATATTTTCATTATATGCATGTGTACATGTGGTCATGCACATTTAATTTTATGGGTTAGAACCAAGATCTTTCTATGTCATCATGTTGTATTTTGTTGCTTAACAATTCACGAAAAATTTGCCAAATCATTAAGTGTTTCTTTGAGAGGTGAATTTCGGTGACTGCCTGGCACCCCAACCTAGACAAATACCATAATTTATTTAATTCTGCTATTCTAGAAATGCTGAACTGTTTTCAGTAGTTCACTTTGTTCTGTCAGGAGAAATTCCTGGAGATTTCCTTGGTGGATGAAAGTAGGTTTTTTTCCTTAAGGTTCATGATGCAAATTCAGGCCAAGATTTTTTAAACATAACAATTTTAGAAATTACGCGTGTGTATTGAGTTCATATTTAACAGAGTCATGGGTAACAGTCCAGAGCTGGGCAGCAGTCGGGCCCAGGTGGGGAGGGGGCCGTCCTCCTGTGTTGCTGGGGAGCTGCAGGGAGGCTGCCACCGTCGGAGTCACACAGCTCAGCACCCGAGGGAACGTCCCCGAGGGTAAACCATGTTTGTTTATTTCCTCGCAGCAGATTGACGGCAAAGCCTTCCTACTTCTGACACAGACGGACATCGTCAAGGTGATGAAGATCAAACTGGGTCCAGCACTGAAGATTTATAATTCTATCCTCATGTTCAGGAATTCCCAGGACCTCAGTGGAGAAGATTCTCTCTCAGGCCAGGAAGCCAGAGGATAAACACACCCCCCGACCTACCGCAGCTCCAGGACCTTCCTCTTTCAGCAATAAAACTGGCCCACACTAATTTAGGTTTAATGTCCCCATGGTCATATCCGTGTTTAATTTGGACCTTTGAAAATGGCTGTGGTGTAGATGTTTCGAGGGTACCGTGGACTGTCCTAGTGCCCACGATGCAGAGGCCGGGGTGTGATTCGGGAACATCATTGTCTTTGGTGGGGCCCTTCCAGCTCTGATGCGTTGCAACAAACAGACCAAAGAAGCCCTCACACACACCTTCAGTGGTTCTCCTTCACCATTAACCATTTTTCAAGCATAAAACTCTCGAGTGGTAAAATATTAAAAAAAAAAAACAACACTCACAAACGCATTCTTAGTGTTTCACCAGAACATCTGAGCCAGGCTCAGACTTGCCATCTGGGTGCAGTGAGTCTAAGAGAGGCCTGGTGTTTTAAAAAGACTTTATGTGGGATTTTTGGGTACTTTACTCAGGAAAGTGTGAATCTTTAAAATAATAAGCACATGTTTTCATGATTCATTAATTCTCCTTTTTGTTCCATTAATCATTTCTTGTTTGTGTCCCAGAGCCTCCTGGAATGTGCCCAGGAGCACCAGGGGGACAGCCAGCAGAAGCTGGCCAGACCCTTCTGAGGCCCCTTCACCAGTGCCCTGAGGCTGCCTGCGGGAGCGCGGGGCGGGGGGCCCCCCTCGTGCCACCCCACACGGGCTGGAGGGCCAGCCACCCACCTGCACTGAACCCCTCCCACCTCCACTCAGAGGAGGCCTCGGAGAAGAACTGGCCCTGCGCCTCCCCCCCGCCAGCACGTGTAATAAGGGACTGTGTTACATCTTGATAGAGACGCTCTAACAGGGAAGATCTCTGAAGTAGGGAGCTTGGTAGCTGTGATTTGAACAATTCTGATCTCTTGTCAGACCTTACTTGTTTTGTGTTAAGTGACTGTACCTGACACTTAGTGGAGTCAGCCCCATGATTCTGAAAGACAGTCACCTGTTCATACCTACTGTCAGAGCTGCACCGGCCCCTTGGAAGTAGAGACCATTGTTCTCTGATTCATTAAGAATCTTACGATTGAAGGAAGTTGATTCGGCCTGGAGAGATTCTCAAACTGTAGGTCACTGAAGGAAAAATATTCTTCTCTAAGAGGTGTGCACATATTGCATCTTTTAAAGATTCCCACCTAAATGGAATTTTAATATATTATTGGTTCATGTAAATTTTTATTTTCTGTGGAGTTTTCTTTGCTGTTTATTTTCTGTTTTTTTTTTAGATTGCCATGTACAATTAAATTCCTGCTTCTGCTGTGTTAAAATTATAATATATTTTAAATGATAATAAACATAAAATAAAACCCCCACCTCCATGCCTTAATGAGTATGTTGTAATAACCTATTCCCACAACACAACCTGAGGGCTTTTATCTCAGCCACGGAGGAACAAAGCGCTGCTTGGCATAGCCCACAAAGAAGTCAGCCTTTGAGTATTGGGGATAGGTTTCCCTAGGGAAGCAAATTCAGCCATTAATAACTTGAGAAATTAGGGGCATCTGGGTGGCTCAGTGAGTTAAAGTGTCTGGTGCTTGATCTCAGCCCCGGTCTTGACCTCAGGGTGGTGAGTTCAAGCCCTGTGTGGGGCTCCATGCTGGGTATGGAGCCTAGTTAATAACTTGAGAAGTTAAAGTGGAGATTTTCAAATTAAAAAGAACCTCACAATTGTTCATCATAGAGGCTCCGTGGAAGATCTGAGATGCATGTTTCATATATTTAATACTTGTTTCAACAAAGGATCTAGACTAGAACACACAACACCAAGCCAAATTAGAGTTGAACTGTCGTGTTCCTAGAAGATAGTGCAATCAGGTACAGCTCGATCCAGGTGTCTAGCCACCTGCCAGACATCCTGACTTGCCACCCAGTGCCTTCACCTTGCCACTCTGGAGAGGCAACTCAGGTGGTCCCGTCCTAGTAGCCTCTCCTGGCTGAACAGAGTAGCGGCCCAACTCAGGAAACCAAAACATCTGACTCTGGCCATTTCTGTGTTAGAGCTTCTCCCACCAGCATGAGTTCGCTGGAGGTGGAGACCCATGAGGCGCAGGTCAGCTCCTGAGCTGGTCCCTGCTGGCCCGGCAGGCTGCCAGCTTCACACCTCACCCTATTCCTTCCCTGTCACAGCGTTTCCCTCGTGCCCCCATCCCGTGCTGGACCTACCCTGAGCTCCTTCTTCCCTCCAAGCGCACCTTCCTGGGTGTAAGTGGATGCCTCCGCCTGAGCTGTTCCCTCCCCTTCACCCCTGCTGGGGAAGACCCACTGCAGCCCTATTCCCATCATGTGGTTCCTCACTTGCTGTCGTTACCACGGGCTTGTCTCCCCCCCACTAGTCTAGATGGTGTGTGAGAACGGAGACCGTGGCAGGCTTGCTCATCACTTACTCCCAGCACTTGACGTGGTATGTGGCACTTCATCAGCACAAAGGAAGTTATTTATTGGATCAGTGAATGAGGTAAGCACATCAAATTCAACATCAAGTCCCAGCTCCGTAACCTCCTAGATGGGAATAACTTATCTGTAAAAAGAAAGATATCTACCCCGAGGGGTTTTTTAATTTGATTTTGTGGATGTGTGTAAACGAATGTAGCTAACATAATACACATAAGGTGGCTTTTTGTTAGGGGGCCCAGAAGCATGTGGGGCAGGCCTCAGGATGGTCTGGAGGGGCCTTGACTGCCCTGGACCCAGCCCTACCACATCCAGCTTTGACTCCAACAAATTCCCTCCCCTTACCTCATCCTCTCCAGACAGGCTGGAAAGCTTGGAAGTTGAAATCTTTCTCCCAGGGGACCCTCCCCTCCAAGGAGTGAGGCAGCATCTGGAAATGCCCCAGATGGTTTGAAGGCCTCGGCTGCCCCCCAGGTACCACCCTTAGCCTCTTAACTCTCCTCTTTCCTGACTCCCATCTGGAATATGCGTGACAAAGCAAAAATTGTGTAACAAGTATCTTAAAGACCATGCAAAGACTTGGTCTCAGAAGTGAAAAGTATGCAGGACAAAGCAAAATATTGCCAGTTAGGATTTCAAGAAATAACAAACTTCTAGATTGTTAGAAAGAGTTCCCCTAAAGGACCATTATTTACACAACACGTTGAAATACACATATGGGACTGGAAATCAGATCATTAAGCAAGGACGCTCTGGGAGCTTAGGACTTCTGAGACCATAGTCTTTGAATGCCTTTAATTTCAGATACTTTTTCACAAAGATAAATTTCTCTCACTTCCAACAATCCACAGTCCTCCCAAGAAAAATCTCTCCTTCATCAACTCCGAACACCTTTTTTCTCCTGGCCTGTGATGAGATCCTGACCATGGCTAACTCAAGTCCTCAATAGATTCCAAGTGTTAGCACAGAAGATTGACTCCTGTTAACCCCTGGCTCTGAACTGTGACCTCTTACCCTTGCTGTGGGCTGACTTGGAACATCCCTGACATTTCTTGATCAAATTTTCTTTGTGGAATCTCCTTCTGTTGAGTGAGGGCTTTGCCACAGTCACTCATTCCATTTGAAATACTGAGTTTTCACTGCATTCCATTTTGTTTCCTATCATTTTAAGAAATATTCCATTTGTCTCTGCAACTCTCAGAGCTGAAAAACATTCTTGAATATGAAGCGTTCCTATGAATATATTCTTAATATTCAAGAATCATTCTTCATGAATATTTTTCCTTACAAGTTGTTCTTAAAAACTTATTCTCCTTATAAATATATTCATGAAAAATATATTTGTTAATAGACTCTTGAATATTCAGAATCCTTATAAATATATTCTTCTTATGAATAAATATATTAATGAATAATATATTCATAAAAACTCTTCCTTCAAAAATACCTTATTCTGGTTCTACTCGCCTGGTCTCCCATCTCTCCCCACCGTCAGTTTGTCACTGCGTTAGAACCCTGGGACAGCCGAAGTCCTACAATGCAGCTGTGAAGACAGCACGAATACTTGTGCTTGTCTCCAACACTAAGGGTTACACAAGTGAATTTTCTGACTGAGCACTCTGGTGAATTGCTGATCACAATTTGATTTCTCAGTGAGATTACCTGCTTGCAAGTCTGCACCAGAGATCCCTTTCAGGCAAAGGATGGATTTTGAATCCAGTGACCAAATAAAACAGCCCAGCTGCCACTGCTGAGTGCCTAGTGTCCAAGTGCCTAGCACCCCAGGGCCCCGGTTGGGATGCACACACAGGCAAGTCCAGAGGGCCTGCAGGGCCACTGTTAAGACTCAGTGCTTGAATGATGTCAGCAGAAGACCAGGGGCCCATTGGATAAGGGTGTGTCCCTTGGAGACTTCAGAGTGTTGAGAGGCAAAGCTGCAGCATCCTAAGCACTGTTTTGTCAAGGTGGCCATGGCAATGATTCGGAGATGGAAAAAAGTCAGGGAAAAGGGTTAAAGGGTTGCAGGATTTGGAAAAAAAAAAAAAAGGTAAGAACCACGATTAAAAAGGAAATGAAAAATAAAAGGTGAGAAATAAGACTTCAGTTTAAAATATTGAGTTTTTCTCCAGAAGATGGTTCTATTTCATGGGATCAGACTAGTTGTATCGGATTTTATCCACAAGGCAACACCTACCAATTGCCCATTTGCTTCAATCTGAAATTAAATTGTGTTCCCTTTGATTGAGGAATCAAGGCAAATTGATGCAGGAAGAATGCAAAATGTTAAGGAGTGCCAGGTTAAACCCAGCTCTCCCCACAACAGATTTTTCACAATTGTTGAACTGCAACTCCTAGCAATTGTATTAAGTACTCATGGGGACTGTTTGGAATACAGGGGCCTCTGTTTTGCTCTGACATACTGGGGCATCAGAGGTCTTTTAGAAGGAAAAAAAATATCAAGAATGACTGGCCGATATTAACTAATTTGCATTTTTTAAAAATAAAGAGTGTATTTACGGGATCTATTCCCAAAGAGCACGAGTTGCTTCATCAGCCAGTTGTGAATGGGTAGAGTATGGGTGGCATATGCTTCCATGGAGGCTGTTGTTTCTCTGTAAACTGTTCCGTGCTTTGGGGTTAGGATCTGCTCTGACAGTTTGCTTCAGAAGGCAGTGGAGTATTTGTTTTGTATTGTTTCTTGTTTTTTTTTTTTTTTCAAGAAGAAGCAATTCGAATTTCATTTGGCCTAGCCTCTCCCACAAAAAGAGTCAAACCAGCCAAAAATTAGTTTGTTAAAGGAAAACTCACTCTGACAGGTTGCTTGCTGTTGGTGATTGAAATTTTTTCTTTTATTTTTCAGTCAATTTGCAAAGTTATCCTCCAGAACAGCCAGCTTACTATTCTTCCCCCCCCTTCTGTTATTTTTTTTCAGAATAGATTTGCTTTTCACATGCTGTTTTTAGTATTAGTTTGAAACCTGAGGTTGCCCTTCCCTCACAGAGACCTTCCCCAGTGCCTTTTGGGCTGAAAAGTTAAGCCTAAGAGTAGAAGAAACAATTTCACAGATCCACCTACATATTGATTCAAAACTTTTCTTCAAATGAATCAGTAGATTCACCTGAACAGGTGTCCTCATCTTTGTCCATTGTGGGAAGTATTACATTCATCCATTCAACAAATATTGAGAGCCCACTCTGTCCCATTTGGAATGCATCCTTGGACAAATGAATAAAAATCTCTGCTTCTGTGGGGCTTAAATCCAAGGGGGTGTGGAGATAGACAATAAACCACAAGCATAAAAATATGCAGATGAATAGGAGGCGATAAAGGGGGAAAAAGTCCAGGGCCTGGTGTAGTGGAAATATGATCTTGCTGGTGCACAGATCTTACAGAAAATATGGTCAGGTGGTGAGTGAAATCCCCTGGCATCTATGTATGTGATTCACATGACACATACCTGCACAGACCCAGGTGTTGTTCAGTTCTTTCTAAACCTTTGTTCTTGCTCTGTCATCGTAAACTGCAGAGATATTCTTGTATTTCCCCACGGGACCTAGAACAATCCTCCATACAGAGGTGTCTTTCAGTATATATTGCTAACTGGCTGGCTCCAGAGTATGAACATTATTTTGAGTACCAGTTTGATGTTAGCAATTAAGTACTCTGTTACCTGGACACTTCTGGGGCCCCTTTTCCCCCCAGATTCTATGAAGCAATTAACAAGAAATAATCAGAGATACTTGTAATGTGATTAAGTGAAAATTGTCATCAGGCAGGTAATTTTAAATACTGCCGTGCTTTAAATACAGACTCATTAATTTTAGCTCAGTGGTGTTCTAATATTTATTATGCACACATAA